GCAAGAGGACGCAAGAACTACGGCGACGCGCTTCCTCGTCCTCACTCTCCCCTCCACGGCCAAACCGCACCCGTCTGCCGACAGGCGGCTCGAACCACCTCCTCGTCCCCACGGGGCTGCTGCAGACCGCCCTCGCGGAGCAAAGCAGCGCCGCTGCCGCACCGGCGTGGCTGTCCGACGCCTTTGGCGGAGGGCTCGTCCGCATCGACGCGACGAACTCGTCCGTCCGCCTTCCCATCGGAGGAGTGTGGACAGCGCCTCTGCTCACGCCCTCCCATTGTGAACAGGTCCGTCTTGCTCTCGCTCGCGGCGCCGAGCGGACGGGCGGGCTGCGGTAGGGCTCCGAGCAGAGGCTCGGGGGACGGCCGTGTAGGTGGGCGGCGCCGAGATGACAGACAAGCTTCCTCTGCGCGCGAGAGAGCTCCTCTCCTCCGCCAACGCGAGCGGCCGCTACTTTGAGTTCTACGCCGCGAGGAACTACTACGAGCGAAGCTACGACCACGACAAGACCGCGCTGCACGCCGCCGCCGCCGCAGCGGGCGCCACGGCGCGCGCCGAGCAGCCGCTCGTTCGGCCGCGGCTCGTCTCTTGAGGCGCGCGGTGGCGGTCCTAGGACTCGTCCGACCCCGCGTACGTCATACCCGCCTACGAGCTCCGCCGCTCCCTCGCGCTCGCGCGGCGGCGCTGCGATCTCTCCTCCCCCTCGAGTCGACACGAACCTTCTCTGACCCTTCTCCGAACCCTCCTGCAGGCGCGGCGAGCCCTTCTCCCTCGAGTACACCCCTCTCCCGCCCGGCCTCGGCACGCCCACGCAGTGGCGCGCGCACGCGGGGGAGAAGGCTCGCCCCGCTGCAGAGGCGCGGCGGAAGAGGCCCGCGTCGCGCGCGCACGCCCGCCGCCGCCCGCCGCAGGTGAGTCTCGACGAGGCGGCGGACGGGCTCGTCTCGTGCGTGGTCGGGCGGGCGCGCGAGGCGTGCGGCGCGGCGGAGCTCGCGCTCCTCCCGCCGCCGCCGTGGCTGCTCACGCGCGTGCTGCTGCCCTACCCGATCCCGCTGCTCGACGGCGCAGGCGACGGAATCCACTGCACGACGTGAACCAGCTCGGCATTGCTGTACTCTTGGGCCCACCGAGCGCCGATCCGACTCGCCGCTCTTGTGAAGGGAAGGCGGGCGCGCGACACATTAGCCACAAACGTCAGACGACGGCTGTGGAATGGCATGGGGGCGATTACTCTACCTATTTCGGGAGGGCGAATTACCGGAATTCGTCGCCCGCGCGGATCGAATTCGTTTGTCCCCGTCGCCAGACTGCCGTACGTGTGTATAGTAGAAAATCGAGCGTACGTAGAGTAGCTGCGCGTGTCGAGGCTCTGAGACACCTTTTGAGTCTTGCGAGACCGTTAAAACTTAAATATAAATTTGCTGATGCTGGGTTTTTGGGCATTGGGGGCGGGGGCCGGGAAATAAAAAATTGTTATTTGGGATGAATTGTTATTTGGGGGGGCATTCCCATTCGAGATACTCGTCTGGGTAAGACTTATACACACACACACACTCTCTCTCCATCACCAGCAACGCCACCGGTAGAGGAGGGAGTCCAACTCTCCCCTCGTCAGGTTGGCGGGGTTCGCGCTGCCCCACCCGAGCCGCCCCTCGTCCTGTGGGGGGAGCACGCTCGCGCACGCCGCGCCGCTCGACGGCGGCAGCGGCCGCTCGGGGTCGGCGTGGGTGGCGAGCCCCTCCGCTGTCCAGCATGCGCGCAGCTTGTACAGCCACGAGCAGCGCCACCGCTGCGAGCGGATGGCGAGCACCGCCTGCCGGTTGAGCAGCGCGAAATAGCCGTCGAGCAGCTCGTCGAGCAGCTCCGCCGCGCCGCACCGCTCGCCACAGCTCGGCCGGCCGTCGACGCGCTTGCCGAGGCACGGCTGCCCAATCGGCGCGCCCCGTGCGTCGAGCGGCCGCGCGCACGAGTGCGCTCCGCCCTCCGCCAAACACGAGCCCGCTGGCGCCGGCGGCGCCGAGCAAAGGCACGCGCGGTGCTCGCCGCCGGCGTCGGGCGGCCGGTCGCTAGGCCGGTCGTCGGCCCTCCCGCCCCAGTCGTGCACCGCCCACGTTGGGCTCTGCCGCCACCAGCCGAGGCGCTCTCCCGCCCACAGCGGCGTGCGCACGCGCCGGTTGCCGTTGAGCCCTGGCAGCTTGGCCGCGGCGGGGTGGCCCGGCTCGACGCGCGAGACGAGGGAGCGGTAGACAGCCGCGAGCCGCGCCCACGCGCAGATCCACCGAAGCGAGTGCGCGAGCTCGGCCGCCACCGCCGCCGCGTACCGCGCGGCGAGCGCTTCAAAGTCGCGCCGAGCGCGCGCGAGTGCCATCGCACCTAGAAGGTTCCTAGAAGGTTCCTAGAAGCGCGCGCGAGTGCCATCTACCCGCGGCGGGCGGCGCGCCGCCGCCGCCGCCGCCGCCGCCGCCGCCGCCGCCGCCGCCGCCGCTCACGTCGCCGCTGTCGTCAAAGGCGCTCTCTGCGCACTCGCCGACGGAAACGTTGAGGCGCTCGGCGCCGGGCAGCGCGAGCGCGGCATCGCCGTAGAGAAGGTGCGGCGCCGCCTTCTCCGAGAGCGGCCGGTGGCGGCGCAGCGCCGTGCGCCGGCGTAGCAGCGCGCCGACGGCGCCGAGCGCGTCGTCGGGCGCGAACGCTCCGAGGCCGCTCACGCGCACGCACTCGGGCTGCGCGCCGGCGCGCCACGGCGGCAGCGGGTGGCGGCGCGCGTGCTCGCGCCACGCGGGCTTCGACTCGGAGAGGTGGAGCAGCATCGCCTAGCAGCAGTAGCAGTGGGGCAACCTTCCAAGATCATGCTCCGACTGGAGAGCAGAGGTGGAGCAGCATCGCCTCGCGCTCGTTGACGAGCAGCTTGCCGCCGCGCAGCTCGAAGCGCAGCGCGCCGCACGGGCAGAAGGTGCACTCGACGTCGGCGCAGCTCTTCGCCTCGGCGAACGGGAGGAGCGCGCGCGACATGACGAGTTCGCCCGCGTCGGAGAGGCGAGTCATCACGTCGCCCATCGTCTCGAAGCCGCGCGCCGAGAGCGGCCCCCACCACTCATCAAAGTGTGCGTACTCGGCTGTGCCGACGATTTGCCGCCACTTGGGCGCCCGCCGGAAGAGAGAGGTGGTGGTGGCGGGCGGTCGCGCGCCGGCGGCGGAGGCGCCGCCCTCCACGCGGAAGGCCGTGAACGGGCCCCAGCACTTTTTGCGCCAAGGGTTGGGGTAGAGCGGGCTCACCGCCGTCACGCGCTCGCCTGCCGTGCACGGGCACGCACGCGCGTCGCGCCACGTGTCTGCCGACCGGCCGGGCGGAGCACGCGACGAGTTGAAGCACGGCGAGCGGCGGTCGCGCCGCAGCCGCTTGGAGCACTGGAGCTCGCGCCCGGCGCAGCACGCGGGCGCGCGCAGCGCCAGTGCCATGTGAGCGCGCAGATCGCCGTACACCACGTCGAGGTCGCTCCACGCCCACCAGGAGCGCCCAGCGAGCAGGTGCGGGTACAGCTCTGGGAGGAGCGGCTTGATGTCGTTCGCCTTGTACTGCCGCGTGTACGACACCCGCCGCCCGCTGAGCGCGCCGAGCCTCGCCTGCATCTCGACCCAGCCGACCGTCTCGAAGCGCACGTTCGGCGGCAGGCCGGTATATGGCGGCGGCGCGTCGCCGACGACCGAAAAGGAGACGGTCGGGTTCGCCGCCATCGACGCGAGAGTGAGCGGCAGCCACGGCGGAAGCGGTCCGAAGTAGACGATCAGCACCACGAGAAAATTCTCGTCGAGGTCGATGGTCGGCTGCGCGGCCGACGCAGATACGGCCCAGCCGGAAAGCATGGTCTCGCTCGGTCAAAAAAGGCGCTGTTCATCGAACGCACAGCCCCGTGCACGGGTGGCGCCGTTCATGCAAAAACACTCCTTTTCAGAAAACATCTGTCTCGTTCTCCTGGCTGATCGTTGCCATCGCCCATCGCGGGCGGGCCGCGATGTTCCAATCAATGCGCCCATCTCAATACGACACTCTCACGTTCACAGCAAAAAGTAGATGAAGTCGCCATCTCGCCAACGTGATCGTGTTACAGGGAAGTGCAACAAATGCTGCGGCGTGCAACTAAATGAGGCGCGCCGCGTCGGACGTCGCGTCGCGACGCGAGAGGGAGAGCGCGGTCTGCTGCTGCTCACGTGGCAAGCGTCGAGCTCTCCGGACTTAAGCATCTCGTGGTACAAGTGAAGTAGCTGTGCAGGAAGTTGGAGCAGGACGTGTGCGCGATCTTAAAGGAATCGAGGTCGTGGGCCTTGCGCGTGTGCCGACCTCCGAGATGTACCTCGGGCCGGGGATGGAGAAGTAGTACGAATACGAGCCGTGGGGAGGCGAGTGAGTTCGGCGTGAACAGTGTATAAGTGTCGTGGCCGGGCTCAATCTTGGCATGCCATGGCCCGAGCGCGAAGCGTCGCCGTTTTGCAGGCGACGTCCGCCCTGTGCGCTCTCCGTGGGGATTAACGTGTACCTCTTGAGGTACTCAATGTGTGATCGCCCCATACTTCGAAAAGCAGGTCGAACCGCACAGGCTGGTGGGCGCCATAGCCGCATAGGCGTGGAGCCGAAGCCGAGCAGGCCGGGCGCGATGCATGGCGGCGAACATGGTTGTTAGTGCCAGTCGGGATGTCGGAAAAAGCACGTGTCATTCGACTCCGCCCACGCTCGTGTCTCTGTGTATGTGTTATGAAATTACGCGTGTGCGGAAACCCCCAAGCTACGGGCCTACACGGCGCTGGCTGGGACCTTTGCAGCATTGGAGGCTTTTTTGCAAAAAGGACGAGGGGGAGGGGCGCGCAGCTCGCGGCGCGCGGAGAGTGCTGGGCACACAGTGCACAGCCACAGGGGGCCTCTCTCGCATAGGAGAACGGAATTCGGAGAACGACACACAAGCAACAAACACAACAGGGTTTTCCTTACTTTTCCCTCAGGGCTCTAACACGCCCCCCCCCCCGCCAGGGTCTTGGCGCTCTTGGAACCGTGCGAGACGCGATGAGGGGCGGCGCAGGCGGGGAACGGGAGCGGGGAGCGCATCACGGAGTAATGTCGGGGGTAAGAAAAGCCGAGTCTCGTGGTCCGGGACCCTTGTAAGTCGCATCTCGGCACGGGCCGCTCTGCGCCCCTCCCTGGCCTCCCGATTCGTAACCCTTGTTTCCCCTCTCTCTCCCCGCGGGCGGGTTGCAGAGGGTGTGGGGTGTGACAGGAGGCGACGGCACATCTGGTGGCACGGCAAGAAAAAACGCACGCCGCCCGTCGAGCCGCTGTGCAGCGCCACGCGGCCGTCGAACTCCGCCACTGACGACGAGCGGCTGGTCGGATTCACTTCCGCTTGGACTGGTCGGGCGGGTCTATCCCACGGTAGAAGACTCCATGACACTGGCCTCCTTCCTCCTAACCTCACGCCTCCTACCCTCACGCCTCCGTGTCGCGTCGCGCGCTGAAGTACTGGTAGCCAGGAGAGCTGGTCTGAACCAAGCCCGCTCCTTGGTCAAAGAAGATTTGGGCCTGCTTCAACGTCACTGAGCCAAAGCCCGTCGCCTCCAGCGCGTCGCGCACCTCGTCTGCGCTCTCAAACTTGAACGTCCACGCACAGCCGAACTTCATCATCACACCGTTGTCCGCGGCGTCCGCGCAGCCCAAACCACTGACAAACGCGCACCCCATGAACCACGAGCCTGGTGCCATGAGCCCGCGAACCTGCTTGAAAAGGCCCTCGGTCACGTCCTTGTCCGGCAGGTACATAAGTAGCCCCTCTGCGAGGATGAAAGCTGGCCTTTCCATGTCGAAACCGGCATCTGCCACGAGCCTCCCCCACCTGGCCTCACTCAAGTCGGCGTCCACCTCAACCCGCTTGCACTTCGCACCCCGCAGGTGCGCGAGCTTCTTTGCGTGGGACTCGGTCGTGCCATCGCGGATAGGTTGCTCCTGCTCGATTTCTGCGAGCCGCTCGCGCTTGAACTCATGTGCGCAAGCCACGTCAACCTCAAACACGGTCACGCCCTCACCCAGTGGGAGGCGCCATGCGCGCGTGTCGAGCCCCGAGCCGAGAAGCAAGACCTGCGTGCACCCGCTCTGGACAGCCTGCAACATTGCGGCGTCGTAGTAGTTCGTGCGGTGGATAATTCCCCGGGCCTCGCCTTCAGGCGTGCTGCCGCCAGCCGCGCGAAAGGCGTTCAGGAAAGCGCGGCCGAGATCGCCCGCAAAGCTCTCCGCCAGCATGTCAGGCTCGCCAAGGTCGGGATCGATGCCGAGCCTCGTGGCCTCTGCACGCATGGCGCAGACCAAAGCGGCAGTGGGAAACGCCGAGCCGGAGCCGTGGGTCGCCATTGTGCCACCTGTAAAAAGCGCGCGTCGCCCCCTTTCCCGCCTTTTTCCGGTTCCCATCGTGCACCTAGCCTACCCATTCCGGGGCACAGACCAAATGTCGTTCACGTTGACTTGCGAGGGGGCTTCGTCGTGTCCTTAATTTTGTTGTCGCCTCTGTGAGCTGCCGACAGCTCCGGTCGCGACGCTGCTGCCGATGGACACATGGACACTCGTCGGCGCTCATCATACATCAATCATGGGAAGGACATCACGCCTTTTTCGACCCCGATAAGGTGGCTCGCCTCACCCGCGCTCCACGCCTGGCCGCCGACTCTCGTGCGTGGGCCGCCACCACGTGAACTTTCCGTGCCCTATGCCCCTATGTTGTGGTGTCGCCACCGTGGACTTACTTACTTACCCTCTACCCAGGTGACTATGTATGTATGTAGACTATGTGCTAAAGCTAGATCTCCCCTACCGAGCCTAGATCAATACCTGGTTCGGTCGGCGGCGGGCTTTGCCCACCAACATTGATGCGGGCATAACTTGCGATCCCGACCTTGCGCGACGTGCCTATTAGTGCATTCTACCATCTACTCGCACATGGCAAGCATGGGCGACGCCTCAGGCCCCATGCCGGCCATCCAAGATATGCGTGCGCCAAAAAAAAACCGAGAACCCAAGGGAGGGATGGGAGGACGGCACGCCGCCACCAATACATAAATAAATACAACGGACATGCCAAGCTAGGGCTGGGTCGAGGACAGACACGTCCCCACCTTTGCAGGATTTTGCAAAAGCGAGGGGGGAGGGCGCATCGCCGCGCGGAGAGGGCTGGGCACAGGGCACAGGGTGCCCGGGTTTTCTTATCGGCTTTTGAGCAGCAGGCGATGCGTGGCAAGGCGCGTCGCAAGGCCGAGGAGCGGGCGCCTCTCACCACGCCCGCTTCCATCTGGGTGCCAGGCGACGATGACGGCGACGGCGACGACGACTTTGCCACCGCAGTCGACGGCGAGTGTTACACGGAGCAGGAGCTGCTGGGCATGTGCCGCGCTGCCGCTGTCGATCCTGAGGTGGCGGGCGGCATTGGATCGCGCAGCCCGTTGTCGCGCGGATGCGCCCGCTGCCATCCGAGGAGGGCGGCCTCACTCTCCCGCGATCATCGAGCCCGTCGTCGCCATGGATCGGCCGACCGCCCGTTGACGCCGCAAACGGCGCGTCGACCGAGTATCATGACTGCTGCCTAGCCCCGCCGCCGGCGGCGGGCCACAGGAGCGGCACGCGTAGCCCCGTTGGCCACGTCAGCCCGAACACCTTCACAGCGTCGCCGCACAAGGCCCGGTCGGAAGGCTACGGCCTCGCCGGGCTGCCGCTGCAGCGCGACGCGTGGCGCTTCTACAAGCTGCTGCTGCCCATCGCCCTGCTCGGGCCGATCCTCACCTGCGTGATGATGCTCCTCGTCCTGCCGCACTATGTGGCGGACGTGATCCGAGTCATCGACACAGTCGTGGAGAGCGTGCTGACCTCGCCCTTCCTGTGCATCATGCTGATCGCGGTGCCCGCGGTCGCGGGCCTGGTCATGAACGTGCTCAACATCGGCGCCCTCCTCCTGCGGCTCCACCGCGGGCTGCAGCCGGCGCCCCTGCCGCCCAGCCTGGCCTGCTGCGAGCTGCTGCACGTGGTTGTCATCCCTGCCTACAAGGAGCCGCTCGAAGTGCTCCACCGCACGCTCGACTCGCTGGCGTCGCAGACGGTCACCAGGGAGCGCGTCGTCATCCTCTTGGCGCTCGAGGACGCGGACAGGGGCGCGTCGGCCACCTTCGAGCACCTGCGTCAGCGCTACAAGGGCACCTTTGCGGGCTTTTGGGGCACGGTGCACACGTTGCAGCCGCACGAGGAGGCGGGCAAGGCCTCGAACGTCAACACGGCGGTCCGCCTGCTCTACGAGTCGATCGTCGTCGACGGGATCGACCCAGAGGCCGTGATGATGACGGTCTGCGACGCAGACTCGACCTTTGCCCCGCGGTTCCTGGAGCACCTCGAGTGCGCCTTCCACCGGCAGCCCGACGGCAAGGACTTTCTCTACGACAGCCCGCTGAACACGTGGGGCAACTTCCTAGAAGGTTCCTAGAAGGTTCTCTACGACAGCCCGCTGAACACGTGGGGCAACTTCCTCGACAAGCCGTTCAACTGGATCGTGCTGCACCACGAGCTCAAGCGCTGCCTGGCGCACACGTCCACCATGTTCCTCGGCAGAGCGCCTTGCTACTCCAACTACAGCCTCACCCTGGCCCTCGCGCACAAGATGGACTACTGGACGGTCGACAACGTGCCCGAGGACATCCACACCTACAACAAGGTGTCGCTCATCAACCGGGCCGCCTTGCCGACGGTCCCCGTCTACTCGCTGATCGTGAACGACCTCGTGCCCGGCATGTCCGATCGGTTCGTGCAGGCCAAGCGGCACAGCTGGGGCATCACCGAGGTTCCGTGGCTGATGGCGATCTACGGGCACCCAAAGGTCGAGTTCCGGACCTGGCTTGGGCTGCTGCTGCAGAGCCTGTCGACGGAGATCATGGCGGCCAGCCTCCCCGTCAACATCACGCTCTTCTTCCCCGTGACGTGGCAGATCGTGCTGGGCATCGCGCCCCTCGCCAGGTACTTTCTCCTTGCGGTGATGATCTACGCCTTCGTCTTGAGCGCGGTGGCCGAGAACATCCTGCTCTTCTTCGTGTGGTACGTGCTGCTGCGCGACCACCCGACGATCAGGAAGCCGCGGGTGCTCACGCTGGTGGCCATGCGATTGCTTCGACTGGCCGCTGGAGACCGTCTCGCACGCCGCGCTGTACATCGCTCCCCGCTGGCTCATGCTCGCGCGCGCGTTTCGCACCCCGCACTTCAGGTGTGTATATCGGACCCCCCCCCCCCCCCCTTTTGATTGCCCGATTGCCCCCCACCCATGTGGCGACGAGCGTCGCACGCCGACGCAGCGGCACCCCCGTGATGCGTATCATCGCGCGCTTGCAGGTACGTGTGCGCACCCAAGGGCAGCGCACTCCAGCGACCGGCCAAATCGTCGGGGGGATGGCTGATGACGCGCTCGCTGTCGAACGCGGTCGCGCGGTGCGGTCTCCGTCCAGGACCTCCAGCCCGAGGGTCCCTCGCTCGCCGGCCACCTGGGTCGCCTCCAAGCGCTTCTGGCGCGATAGGAGGCGCCACGCGGAAATGATTAGCACGTCGGACATCAAAGAGGCGATTGGAGCCGTGTGACTAAAGGGGCCAGCGGGAACCGGGATGTTCTCTGTGTCACACGCTTTGGCGTTTGGGGGGATGCGAAAAGCTACACAGTGTTCGTTTTTGGGCGCTGCCTCACCCACGCGCCAGCTCGGCCGGCACTGCTGAGCAACCGCGTGCAGGTCCCACGCATCCTCGAAGCACACAGCATGAACAGCGACCTCTAGCAACTGTATCTCCGATCTGGCTAAGCCTAACTAAGGAGTAAGGTGGTCCTAAAGGTGGCCCGTAGGAACAAGGCAGTACTCCTATGAACAAACAAAACACTGGGCCTGATGATCACGCACGCGCACACGCCTTGGCAGTTGCGAGGAAGAAGAAAGGCACGGATACGGTACCGCAACCTAAGAACCGAAAAAATACATTGGAGCCCGAGCCTCGCGGCCATCGACGGCGCTGACGCCAGGGCCTGAGTGGAGCGCGAGGTCGCATGGCGACGGCGTACGAGCTGCTGGGCGTGCCGCGTGACGCGAGCAGCGACGAGGTGCGCACGCCCTCCTCCAGCCAAGCTCGTGCCAGCCGAAGCCGAAGCCCTCTGACAGCCCGAGTTGCGCCGGCGCAGCTGCGGCGTGCGTACCACCGGCTGGCGCGCGAGCAGCACCCCGACCGCGCGGCCGGCTCGTTGTCTCGAGCGGCCAGCGTCGATTTTGTGGCGCTGCAGGAGGCGTGGGAGGCGGTGCGGCCACACCGTTCTGGCCACGGCACGACGCGGGTGCCGTGTCGTGAGGCGAGGCGCTTCTGCTAGGTGCGCGATCCCGAGGCGCGGCGACTGTATGACGCGTCGCTCCGCGCGGACGAGGCCGCGGCGGCTCGCGTGCGGGCCCGCGCGGCGCCGGTCGACCTGGGGGAGGTGCCGGCGCCCCTCCTGCCCCGGTGGCATGCCGGCGCCCGCTTGAGCGCTCTATGTGCAAGTAGATGGATTACGCCGAGGGGAGCGACGGGCAAGGCGTTTGGAGCTACGCCTGCCGGTGCGGCGCCGCCTTTGAGCTGACGGAGCAGATGCTCTGCGCCGGCATCGAGGCGCGGTGCCGCTGCCCCGCTCCGCGCAGCTCGCGCGCAGCTCATTGCCCCCTCGCCGGTCGCGCAGACGCTCGAGTGCTCGTGCTGCTCGCTCGCTATACGGCCGCTGTATGCGAGAGCGGCGGAGGATGAGGAGCGACACGCTCCAGAGACGTCGATGCACTGCGGGGCAGGAATTGAGACGAGATGATACATAGATATGTAAAGCTGTATCTGTGCATGCATGTGCGCAACAGTGTGCATGTGTGCACATGCAAGAGACCTAAGAGTACGTATACGTCAGTACGAATTAAAAATAACGACTACTAGGAGATGGGTAACACGGAGCCCAGACAGGTTGGTCCGCCCGCCCCCATTAACAAAATATCCTCCCCGACGGTCTCTGTCTCTCCCGCCCCCCACATACAGGCAGACACACCCGCCAGGGACACACCCGCGCCAGGGACACAACGGACAACGTGCGTACGTAGGGTTCGATACAATTGTACTTTAGCCGTACCGGACCCGCCGGCGCCCGGGACGGTCCACGGGGCGCCCGGGGCGCGGGGGGGTCGCTATAAGCATGTTGCTTTACCCGTATACCACTAAGCACTCCAGTAGACGTACATGAAGCAAAAACAAAGGAAGGCCGCCCCGCCCGGCTGCGAACACCCACCATGACACGGCAACAGTGTTGAACAAGTGTCAATGTCCGCAAGCACCAAGTAGTCGCGCTCCCCACTAAGCTCGCGTAGACAAACGTACGCGCCGCTCGCCCTCTCTCAGTCTTATACTCCACGCGCGGTGCTTCAATAAGAGCGGTGCTTCAATAAGAGCGCGGCCTCCTCGCCTTAGTCGTTAGCGCCGCCGG